AATCATTCTATTTTTAAGTATTACAATCCACAAAATTTAGAAGACTTTTGGCTTTGTTTTACTTTTTTTCTTGGTTGATAGCTTTATCTGCAAAACTTTTGTATAATATATTATGTAAGGAAGAGAAATTATTTAGTATGTTGAACTGAAGTTGCAAAGTTTACTGAAACATGGTAATACTACGTCTGATTATAATGACTGTTACTGAAATTGTGTAGTAGGAAAGTTGAGGCTAGAATATCTTTTATAAGATAACAAGAAAAATGTGTAAGGTCTTGATACCTCTCAGATGTGAACCACCATAAGTTAAAGAAAGCTAGAACAATTTTTTCTCTATTTCCTACCTATATGATCTGTAAGCAAAATCGTTCTTTATCCTTCAGCCAACCCTGTACTCGAGGCCTTTGGCAATGCAAAAACAACAAGAAACAACAATAGTTCACGTTTTGGAAAGTTCATTGAGATCCATTTTAATGAGAAACACTCAGTTGTGGGCGGGTTCATCTCCCATTATCTGCTGGAGAAGTCAAGGATTGTGGTTCAAGGGCCACATGAAAGGAACTACCACATTTTCTATCAGCTCTGTGCTGGTGCACCTGAGCAGCTAAGGCAGCAGCTGAAACTAGGGACACCAGATCAGTTTAATGTGAGTTGTATTACAATTGATATATGTAATTTTTTTCTTCTTTCTATATCACATATTGAGATGCAAAATCAAAAATAGGCACCTGTGGAGTGGACATAAAATCACACACTAATCTCTCATCCCCTAAACGTTCCAGTACCTCCGCAAGGGCTGCACTCAGTACTTCTGTGGCAAGGACACAGAAAAGTCCTTGGCAGCAAACCGTAAGAGTGGCAACCATCAGAAGAAGGGACCCCTGAAGGATCCCATGCTAGATGATGTGAAAGACTTTGCAGCCATGGACAAGGCCCTGAGTAACCTTGGACTCACCAGCCAGGAGCGACTAGCCATCTACACAACCGTTGCAGCTGTTCTCCATCTGGGTAACATCTCATTTGAGGATAATCCAGAGGACACGAAAGGTGGGCTTAGGTTTCAAATATTGAAAATTAAAGTTATTTTTTTTCTTCTTTTTGTTATATATTTTTAGTGTTGCTTAGACTGTTATTGTTGTTGTTACTATTATCATTATTATCATCATTATTATTGTGATTATTATTATTATTATTATTACTATTATTATTATTATTATTATTATTCAATATATTGTTGTTGGTAATACCAATGCTAATGAATATGACAATTCATATTGATACCTATATAATTAATGGATATTTTTTTACTATTGTTATTATAATCCTTACTATTAATGGTACTTCTAATGAAAACTCATATGAATGGATAATATTATAGTTTTTGTTGCTTCATAGATATTATAGGTTTCAGCTTTCTAAAGGTAGCCAACCATCCAGACTCTAGATTTTAAAAATTTTCAAAAATCTTTCCCTTTCCTTTACTCCTCCAGGTGATTTCTCTAAATGATTCTCTCCTCTCTATACCTAGGGGGTTGCATGGTCTCGCCTGGCTGTGAAGGTTCACTGAGCACAGCCGCCAGCCTCATGGGCGTTGATCCTGAGGAACTGAACCAAGCACTGTTGGCTCGCGTCATGCAGACAAACAAGGGCGGACTCAAGGGAACTGTCATTATGTGAGTTGGTCATATAAGGTGGTGATAGTTATAGATGAGGAGGTTGAATAATAGGTTGCAGTGTTTTATAATGTGATTGATTCTGGAGCTGTAGAATATTGCTTTATTTTGTTTATTTGCTTATTCATATATTTTTTTTTTACTTTTACTTTTTTACTTTTTATTGTTATTATTAATTTTTTGTTTGTTTTTTGTATTGTTATGAACATTAGTATCCACTCAAACTAGCATAGTCATGTCAATTAAAGTTGTTTAACTTTTCATGCTTGATATTGCTGTTGTTATTTTTATTATTATAATTATCATTACTGTTGATTATAAAATATTGTTGATTCTAGATAGTAAAAAAAAAAAAAAAAAAAATTCACCATAACCTGGTACTAGTCAAAGGGATTTAGAATATCTCTAAACTTTTCTGTTATTTAGTTTTTTCCCCTTTTTTCTTGCTTTTTTTCTCTGTTATTGTTCTTGCAGAGTGTGAAATAATTTTATACTTTCCAGGGTTCCTCTGAAAGTGTATGAGGCAAGTGGGGCTCGGGATGCCCTGGCCAAGGCAATGTACAGCAAACTGTTCGACTACATCGTCCACCGTATTAATCAGAGCATTCCTTTCTCCTCATCGTCTTACTACATCGGCATTCTAGATATTGCTGGTTTTGGTAAGAACTTTTCTTTCTATTATTGTATCTTCTTTCTCTCTCTATTTCTTTCTTGTTCTAGGTTTCTTCATAACAACCAGAAGAAATTCTAATGTATTAATGTGAATTATGTAAAGATTATGCTCCTCATACCTGCAAGGTCTTAACTTAAGTATGTGCTTTTTTTCTTGTGCAGAATATTTCCCAGTGAACAGTTTTGAACAATTCTGCATCAACTACTGCAATGAAAAGTTGCAGATGTTCTTCAATGAGCGCATACTGAAAGAAGAACAAGCACTTTATGAAAAAGAAGGTCTAGGTGTTAGAAAAATTGCCTATGTCGATAATCAAGACTGTATTGGTGAGTTAATGCGTAGTTAACATGCATTTTAGTAGGCAACATCCTTTTTTCTGATGTTCCCATATAGATATGTGTTTATAAATATTTAATGCAACATGTAAGGTTTGCTCTGATGACCTGAATTTATTGATTATTAGCCAGTTTATGTGGTTGCAAGGCCTTTTGCAGGCAGTGACTTTATCTGTCGTTTAATATGGAGTGAAAAATATTCTATAATACCAAATATTTATGTTCTGATTTTTTAAAATTCCTAATTCTCTGCAAATTTACTTTGAATTTTACTTTTCTTAGAATATGTATGATATTATATAAACACAATCAATATTTTTTTTTTCCCCCTTCAACCCAAATCACCAGACCTGATTGAAGCAAAAGGGAATGGCATTATCAGTCTACTAGATGAGGAAAGCAAGCTGCCCAAGTCATCGCACACACACTTCACGGCAGCTGTCCACAATAACCACAACAACCACTTCCGCCTGGCCCTTCCACGCAAGAGCAAGTTGAGGGATCATCGGGAAATTAGGGATGATGAGGGCTTCCTCATCAGACATTTTGCAGGCGCTGTGTGCTATCAGACGGTGAGAAAGAAAGGGAGAAGGAGAAGGGGATGAGAAGGAGATGAAAAGAGAAATGAAGGAGTGAAGACAAGAAGAAAAGGGATAGAATGAAGGAAGGGGGAGAAAAGGGAAGTGAGATGGGTAGGGAAGGCATGAAGGAAAAATGGAATAGAATCATCTCATTTTGTATTAAGTTCATATAACTCTACCATATCTTCCTCATACATTTTGTTAGTTATATTTTCTCTTTGCATATACTAGAAAAAGATTGGTAAACATATGAAAAAAAATCATATTTGATCATTTAGATAATTTGTCTAGAATACTGTGTTATTGTTATTGCTAATTGATTATTTCTAAATGATTATTATGATTGTTGTATGTCAGTTTTTCATTGGTTTATGATATTTCATGTACAAACAATAACACTCTAAATTTGCTCCTTCAGGCACAATTCTTGGAGAAGAACAATGATGCCCTTCATGCTTCCCTTGAGGCCCTAGTGCAGGAGGCCCAGAACAAGTTCCTGCAGGGGCTCTTTGCAGCATCAGGAGAGAGCCACTCGGCCCGTGGGAAACTCTCTTTCATCTCTGTAGCCTCCAAGTTCAAGTTGCAGCTGCAGGAGCTCATGGACAAACTAGGCAGCACGGTCAGTTATATATGTGTAGAGTACTTGTTCAGGGTTGGACCTATGGAAAGTTGTTATAATTTTTGGGTATTATTATTGTCATCATTTATATTATTATCTTTTTATACTGTTTTTATCGCTATTAATTTTATTCCTCTTAGTGATATTATTAGCTTTATCATTTTTATTATAAAATCTCACTCTTAACCACAGGGCACAAACTTCATCCGTTGTATCAAGCCCAACGTTAAGATGGTTGACCATGAGTTTGAGGGTGGAGCCATCTTGTCACAGCTCCAGTGTTCAGGCATGACCACTGTGCTCGAGTTGATGCAGCAAGGTTTCCCCTCCCGTGCTCCTTTCCATGACCTCTACAACATGTATAAGCGTTACTTGCCCCAGGAGCTGGCTAGGCTGGATCCTCGGCTCTTCTGCAAGGTGTGTGTGTATTCTTACCCTGAGTTGTGATGTCATTAGTCCTCAATTTACTTGTTTATTTTATCTACTCATTTATGTATTTATCCAGTGTAATCAATATATAACTTTCTTATGCAATGGATTGCTGTTTTAGGCTAAATCACATATAATAATAAAGATGTATTGTAAGCAAGTACATTAGGCATTTTTGCAGTTTTATTTTGATAATGTGTAAATCCCTAAGATTAGCATTAGCCACCAGGGCAAATGATTAAAATTTCTTGAGAGTATAAGGTGTTGGAGTTAAAAGAAGTTAATTACACTTCCTTTGATTATAGGTTGTTAGTTTAAAAGTTATTTTAATAAATTTCTTCTCTTCATTTCTTCCCCATATGAACAGTCTCTCTTCAAAGCCCTGGGTCTCAATGATCGTGACTTCAAGTTCGGTATGACTAAGGTGTTCTTCCGACCAGGCAAATTTGCTGAGTTTGATCAGATGATGAAGAGTGACCCAGACAATCTCCAGATGCTTGTGTCAAAGGTCAAGAAGTGGTTGATGCAGTCCAGGTGGAAGAAGGCACAGTGGTGCGCTCTTTCTGTCATCAAGTGTGAGTATTTCTGTGATTGGCAAGTTTGCACTCTCTCGTCAGACCTTTATTTATTTTTGTTTTATTTTGTTTTATTGATTTATTGTTTTTTCAGAATTTTGAGATATTTCAAATTAATAAAGGAAAACATTTGTACAGGGGTGGTGAATAATGGGCAAAAAAATTGTTGAATGTCAATAATGTATCAGTAAACCTTTGAAAATTGAATCAGGTTGAAGTAGAAAATAGAAGAAAAATAAAGTGAATATAGTCTAGCTAATTATTTCCAGGATTTTGTTAATGATGAAATGAGAAGATATTGAAATTGTTTATGATATTAAGATCAGATAAAAAAAATTGTGAGCATTGGATTGATACAGAATAGTTATGGAAGTGTAACAAAGGAACGCATTTCCTCTTCTCTGCAGTGAAGAACAAGATCCTATACCGCCGTGAACAGTTGGTCATCATCCAGAAGAACATCAGGATGTACCAGGCAAAGCAGAGGCATCAGCCACGCTACAGAGGAATCATGAAAGTCAGGGGACTGCAGGTATGAAGGTTGCTCTTTCTTGGAGGGAGTTTTGGAAATGGGAAATTTCCTTCCTTTTTTTTTCTCTATTTCTTTCATTCTTTTTCTCCCCTTTGTGCTAAATGTTCAATAAGGCTAAGAATTTGAACGAGTAAGGTATGTCGTTCCTTGCCTGCTATTACTTTCATTTCTTTCCTGATGATTCAGTATTTGAAGGGTTGGATAATGCATCCTGCTCCTTAAATTTATCCAAAATTACACCTTTAGAATTATTCTCTTAATTTTGTTACATGTAAATTCTCCATATTCCTATGAGGGTTTTCTTTTTCTCTGGAGGTGTTGGAAGGCATTCGTTATGCTGATTTTGGTGTTGTGCTTGCAGGAATTAGGTGTTGGTAAGTGCTGTTTGGTATGTGATATTAGAATGCATAGATATCTAACTACACAATTTGAATGTTATTTTAGTTTCGAATTATAACGATTCTGTTCTAATTGTTTAGCATGAACTGTAGTACTTTGAATTGTACCAGTGGTGTTATTGTGTTTCTTAGGGTTAAGTTTCTAACAAAGATGTGCTTATGTTATGTTCAGAATATTTGATAGCAAGGAGAGTGTGATTAATCTGTATTGATTTTTCCCCTTTTTCTTTGTTTATTGTCTTGTTGGCATTAGCAAAAGTCCATTATGTTGACAGAAACTAACCACTTCTGTATATATTGCCTAGGGTGGATGCAATTTTTGTATTATAAATATGAATTATGTAATTGTAACAAATATAAAACCACTGAGATATAATGCAAAAGAAAATAAACAGGGACTTGATACCATTTATGCATTTACTTATTTTTACGTATTTTTATGGAGTTTTGTTATTGCATAGGTTTCTTTTATTGAATTGCCTTGATAGTAACTCCCCTTCCTTATCACTTCAGGGTCAACTGCAGCAGATGTTAGTCATCGTGAATCAGCTGAAGAAGGACAAAGACTCCTCACTTGCCACTGTTCAGAAGCTGCAAAACATGATGGAGGCCCTTGTTAAGAAGATCAAAGTAAGGACAAGAATAAAAAGCTTATATTTGTTTGGACTTTTATTTTGTGTGTGTGTCTGTGTCTGTGAGAGAGAGAGAGAGAGAGAGAGAGATGTATATATAATATATATATTTATATGAATTTATATTTATAAAGATATGTATTTTTCCCAAAGTAAAAAAAATATATTGCTTTGTCTTAAACTTCACCCTTTGTTCTGTTATTATGTCATTGTTAGGCAGAATGTGAGAGGTCATTTTTAGATCTTACTTTTGTATTGTTGATAGGCAGTTGAATATAGTCTAACTAGACTTGTGTTTTCATTCCTTCAGAAGGCTTGTAATGTTTTAACCCCTGCATGGTTGAGATGTGTAATTCTGTCTATCTACATAATGACTTTAGTTTTAGAGAGGTCGCAAATATCAGATCACTCCTCAGGTTCTGACTTGATGAATTCATGATTGATGCCAGACAATCCCATATACTTGTTTGAATCTTTTTAGGAATTTCTGTTTGTTAATAACAAGGATACCCATAGGTACATTATCACATCCTGACCATTAGGTGTTTAGAGGTATACTTGTAAATGGCTGATATGCCGTTTACATACAGCATGCAGGATGTATCATTTTCATTCATTTGATCTTTTACTTTCCCATGAAAGGCTAATGACAGAATGACAAGGGAGCAGATTGAGCATGAGCATGCTGCCCTTGTTAGGTCCATGAACAGTGAACTGGATGCTTTGCACAAGAAGCTCTCACAGCAGAAGAATGCAGAGGAACAGGAGAGGCTTCGTCGCATCCAGGAGGAGATGGAGAGGGAAAGGCAGAAGAAGGAGGAGGAAGAGAGGAAGAGGAGAGAGGATGAGGAGATCAGGAAGAAGTAAGTTGGAAGAAAATCTTGGGATTGTATGAGCTCCCAACAAGTAAACAAGAATTTATAACCACATTGTCTGTTATTATTGAATCTCCAGGTTTCATTGCTTGTTTTCCATATCTGATATACTGCTGACTTTCAGGAAAGCAGAGATGGAATTACGACGCAAGCAGGAAGAGGAACTACGTAGGAAAATGGAGGAGGAGGACAGGAAAGCAGCAGAGGCTTTGCAGGTATTTCTTGGATTTACTTTTATTTCAATTTTTTAAAGGAATGAGGAAAATCTGTGACATAATTTCTTTGTTCTCAGGGGAGCAAATGCCCCAGCCTCAGGGGGCCCCTGTGATTCTGTGTTCTTGAATTACATTTTATTATACCAACAATTGTTCAGAATGGTCTAAAATTAATAATCCCAAGGGCTCTTGACTATATGTTTATAAGAACAAATTTTGTATATGTTATGTTATAAGATTTAAATATAATTAGATTGAAATTAATCATATTAATAACATTTCAACCCAATGGATCTGGTTGCATCACGGAAATCATGGTGCCGAAAATACAGGCAGTGGGTTACGTAAGTAGCCACGAACACCCATGCAAAAAAAAAAAAAAAAAGTATGGAACATTTGATTATTTATGTCTTTTTTTTCTTAATTTTCAATTTTCCGTAATTAAACCTGTGCTGCTGGTCACAGTGGCCAGGAATATAGTGCACAGCATGGAAAGGGCATCCTCCCTGGAACAGGCATTCTTCCAGTCATGACTTACACACGTTACATTCCACATTGTTCATTTATAAGGATAATGCTAAAGATCCCTTCTAAGCGCCAAATAATTCAAATCACAGTCCAAGAGGTTTGTCTTTTCTGTCATCCTGGCTTCACTCATGACAGCAAGTTCACATCACCTGGCCCTCAGCCATTTTACCCAGTGATGGCATGTTCATGTCACCTGGCCCTCGACCCAGATTTTTCCATGACAGGACCATAGCATCAACCAGATCGTAGGGGTTAATGTACAAATTTATAATGCTTGAAGGCATTGTTATATTATACATACTGATAGACAGACAGATGTAGGATTATTTGATATCCAAAATTAAATTTTCAGAAACAACTGGAAAAGGAAGCAGTTGAATCAGAGCTTTTGGCCCACCAGGAAGAACAAGAGCGCAGGGATCATGAACTGGCCCTTCGCCTTGCCAACGAAACCAACTCTGGGGTAGATGATTTGACCCCATCACTCAAGAGGTGGGTCTTCTCTAATCTGTGTAAAGAGAAGGGGTGGATTGAAAAATTGTTTGAATTGGATATTGGATGGATGGGTTGACATTAGTTGATCATTTTTTTTCATGTTACAAGTCTCAAGTTTTGATCATCCCATTTCTTAAGAAGTGGGTCTCTGAAACTCTTAAATAGAAAAGCAGGTGGAGTTCATAGTGAGAGGATTACCCAAGATGATTTGAGATACAGCTGTTCTTTCTCTCCCCTTCTTTAATATATCATGTTGCCATGTTTTCTTCATATGTAAAATTTCAGATTGGCTTCTTACCCAAGCAAAAGAAGATCAGGTGTTTTTACATACATCTTGATATTGGATCTGTCAGTTCAGTATGATACCCTATTCGTTCAGGTGTTATTTTGTGTCTCCAGATCCTTCTTATCTTCTGTTGTTCCTTCTCATCTTTGCCATGGTTATGATACATCACAGATATGCTGAAGAGTTGCAGTCTTACTCTTGTAGATTGACAAAGGAGTGACAACATTCTACTTCATGTAGTTATATTCTTGTATCTGATTCCTAGGTATTACCACAAGGTAGATTTGCATGATACTGTCACATTTTGGTTAATAAAAAAGTAAGTATTCTCATCAGGTGCAGCTTATTTTCCCAACAAGGAGAGTGTATGCAAGACCCTTTGTGGTGTGGGTTTTCCCTCTCAAAGTCAAAAGACAAAAAATGGACAAATCCAAAATTTTTGCCAACTTTAGGGTCTAGATTATCTTGTCATCTCTCAAGAGTATGCCATATATTCTTATATTGTTTAATGTTTGTTAGATATTTAGATATGTATGCAGAGAGGAGTGGCTGCTGTGGGAGGGTGCTCATGACCATCCTTCCTTTTTTGTGTGAGATTGGTGACTGGTAAGGGCCAGTTTTGAAAAAGTGTTAGAAGATGGGTAATTTTCCTCCATGCTATGTTTGTAACAATATACAAGCTAGCGCGCGCGTACACGCACACAGGAACATACACACACACACAGGGACACGCACACACGGACACGGACACACACACACACACGGACACGCGCACACACACACACACACACACACACACACGCACACACACGCACACACACACACACACACACACACACACACACACACACACACACACACACACACACACACACACACACACACACACACACACACACACACACACACACACACACTCACACTTTCATTCACTTACACACACATTTACTCACACTCACTCACATACATGTAACTTTTCTTATTCACATAAAAAATTACATCTTAGGTATGAAGCTATACATGTACATCTGCACAAAAATTTTGTATTACATATCCTGTGGAATTATATACCCTGTGGCCATTATCTCAGCATTTTAGGAGCAAAGATTTATAGGAATGAAGCCATTATATGTGTCACTTAATTCAATTCGTTTTCTGTCTGATATGTAATGGTTTATAAAGGTATACATAGTTTATTGCAGTAACAGTGCAGAGATATGCAATGACTGTTCTTCTGATTCATAACTGTCTTTCATCTAAAGTGATGTGAAGTGTGCATGCTGTGGCACGACCCTCATTTTTCCATTCTCATGACATCAAAGTTCTGCCTTCTTTGTTTGTACTTGTGTTTGTAATGTTCCTCCTCAGATATAGCATTCTTGTTCCTAGTGAAGCACAAATTGTTTTTATATTTCCCATCCCCCTCTGTCTTCATGTGCAGTTTAAGTTTTAGCATTACTGTTGTTTTGTAGTATAAACTGGGAATACAGATAGATAGGTATGTAGATAAACCGATAGAGATATGTTGAAGAGATATAGTATAATTTATGGATTTGACAGTACAGCATGGCTGTTGAACCTCATTATCATTGCAAAGATAAGAGAAAGACCAAAGAGTTATCATTAATGAATGATTCAATAGAAAATAGCACTGGTAATGTTAGGAGTAGCTCAGTAAAGTTCTCACATTTATGATGGGATATCTGAATGGATAGTTGCCAGGAAGATTTAGTTGAAAAATGATTTGTAAAAGAAGGGTTAATGAAAATAAATAGAGGACCTTTTATAATATTAAGAGTGAAGCTAGTGTATGCTAGTATATATATATATATATATATATATATATATATATATATATATATATATATATATATTATATATATATATATATATATATATATATTATATATATATATATATATATATATATATATATATATATATATATATATATAATATATATATATTAATATATATAATAATATATATATAATAATATATATATAATATATATATATATATATATATATATATATATATAATATATATATATATAGAGAGAGAGAGAGAGAGAGAGAGAGAGAGAGAGAGAGAGAGAGAGAGATAGGGAGATAGAGTTTATAACCACACACACACATGTATATATACATATATATATATATATATATATATATATATATATATATATATATATATATAATATATATACACATATATACATATATGTGTGTGTGTGTGTGTGTGTGGTGTGTGTGTGTGTGTGTGTGTGTGTGTGTGTGTGTGTGTGTGTGTGTGTGTGTGTTGTGTGTATATATTCATATATATTTATGTATATATACATATATATATATATATATATATATATATATATATATATATATATATATATATATATATATATATATATATATATATATATATATATATATATATATATATATTATATATATATATATATATATATATATATATATATATATATATATATTATATATATATATATATATATATATATATATATATATATATATATATATATATATATATATATATATATATATATATATATATATATATATATATATATTATATATATATATATATATATATATATATATATATATATATATATATATATATATATATATATATATATATATATATATATATATATATATATATATATATATATATGTATGTATGTATATGTATATAGACATTATATACCTATGTGTATGTGTGTGTGTAGTTATATATGTATATGTATGTCTATTATATATATATATATTATATATATATATATATATATATATATATATATATATATATATATATATATATATATATATATATATATATATATATATATATATATATATATATTATATATATATATATATATATATATATGTATATATCTGTATATTATATACTATATATAATATATATATATATATATATATATATATATATAATATATATATATATATATATATATATTTATAGATATATAATTATTCTTGTATGAAATTGCATTGATTTAGCACTTTTGAGACAATTTACTCTTGTTTGTTTTTTCCTTCTTTCCTTTTTTATTTATTTTTGTCATTTGATTCTGAAAGTAATCCTTACTTAAAACAGAAGCTAGACACTATATTTCAGAAGGTAGTCCGTTCCTCACCCTACGCGCAAGAGCGAGACGCATGCCTCTTTTTTTACGCAGAGTAAGCATAGGATTGAAGCCTCACACCCCTCTTTTTTATTATATCCTCTTCCTCCACAGCCCGGTTAATGGAGATCCCAGCCAAAAGTTGCGAAGGTATTCTTTGTGTCTGTTGTGGCTTGCGATTAGTCATCTTCTCCTAATTTTAATTTTTAGTTATTTCTTTTAGTTTTATTTTATTTTATTTTATTTTTATTGTTGAACGCACACACCCTTTTTAAGTTGCTGCTTGACTCCATGCCAGACGATGTAACCCATTGTAGGACTACAGTTACCCCCCTCCCCCTTTCTAAGCTCACCGTTGAGGAAGGAAAGTGATTCCCGTGGCTGAAGAGAAGGCCAGAGATTAGGAGCCTTATGTGGAAAAAGGAACAAAAAGAAAACCATCAGCCATTTATTCTTGTTGCTGTGGTTCTTGTTGTTCTTACTGT